TACTCATCTCCTACTATCCCTCCCACCCCCCCCCACCCCCCCCCCCCCGAAAAAAAAACGAAAAACAGATAACCTAACTTTGAGTAATTAAAGAGCATTTAATTGCCCCCCTCTCTCTATATATATATAGGGCGCGCAATAGGGATTTCATGATTATGAATGAAGATGATGCGAGATGTTAAACTGGATTTAATGGATTTAGTTCTGGTGTTGTGCAATTAACTATTCCAGCATTAATGTGGACGCTTGATAATGATTTCAATCCCATAATTCCGTCAATTAGAGCCGCCAATATGGGCTTGGCCCGTTGGGCCAGCCCAGCCCAGCCCATGATTTAGCAGGGCTGGACTAGATTTTTTGAGCCCATTTAAAAACGAGGCTTTTAGGCCTGGCCCGAGTAAGCCCGTGGCCCGTGAGGCTTGACTGAGGCTGGGCTGGGCTGAACTGGCCCTGGGCCTAATAAAAATAAGTATTTAAAATAAATAGAATATAAAAAGTATATGACACAAAAAATGACAAGAAGAGTATCACAAGCTTAAAGTTTATTAAGCTCATCATATTAAAAAATCAAAGTCTTAAAACGTTAATTAATTTTAAAATTTAATTATTCTTAATATTTAACTAATAATATTGCATAGGAGTTGTAGATGTAGATGAAAGTGAAGATGTTAAGACAACCTTCTCACAAGCGAATTCAAATCTGTTTTATGAAGAGGATGTGTTGGATATCTCATAAGCGTCATGGACGTTTGTTTTGACTTTTGACTTTTAGTGAATGAAATATAATCTTATCTTTTACTTTTTTAGCGTTTATTGTGATATATTGGATCAGTATAAAAGATTATTAAGTTTTGTGAAATTTTTCCAATAAGATTTTTTTTTTAACTTTTAAATATTTATCTTTTTTTAGGTTAGAACTTAAAGAAAAAATATAAAATTATATTTTAAAAAATGATGGGCTGGCCCGTGGGGGCTTGCAGCCCACATAGGGCTGGGGTGGGCTAACCATTATAAGGCCCATTAAAATGGTGGGCTAGCCCAGCCCAGCCCATCAATTACTAAAGCCCACGTGGGCTGGGCTGGGCTAGCCCGGGCCCGCCCATATTGACAGCTCTACCGTCAATCAATTTTGATCACGACCATCTATGTTACTCCAGTTTACACCTATGTTTTTTCATCTCTATTTTTAGTTTTTTTTTTTATGGTAATAATCCGTGAAAATTACCATAACAAACAAAAACTTTACCTACTAAGGAGTATCAAGAGTACTAGGAACTTCCCAATACACCAGGACCTCAATAAAACATAAGTAATACACATACATGAACGAATTACAAAAATCTGCTAATCAAAACTTGGCATTTCCCTGCTCTCCTCGACTCTGCACGCATGCCAATTCTCTCTTTTGAGTTTTTTCTGAATTTGACCAATACAAAAACCACTGTTTAAGCCAACTTGTCTGAATATTTTCTAGTTCCTAGCTTGCCATGTGTGATAAATCATAGCACCAAGCATAGCTGCTGCTACTTCCTTTCTAAATTGCTTCCAATGCCTTCTTCTGATCCACTATAAGGTCTCAGGGACTGGCAGTGCTAGAAGGGAAATACCCAATCGCCTTGTTAATGCCCTTCTCATGGAACTCACCCAGCTACAATCTACAAACAAGTGTTGGTGAGTCTCTAAGACACCCAAATCGCACAGACAACATCATGTGTCATTAGCAATAGGAATATGCAGCTTCAGTAGTCTTTCCTTGGTGAGCAGCTTATGTTGGTTGGCTAACCACAATAACTTGCAATCTACCAGCATAAGAAAGCTGTTTAGAATAATCAGAATTAATCCTCTTTGTAATCTTCTCCACTAAATGATGACACTCAACTTTGCTCCATTTCTTAGAGATAAAGGTGATCCAAGGTACTTCATAGGTAATGTTCCAATTGAGAATCCTGTGGTGCTCAAAATTGTATGTTGTAATTCATCACCAATCCTTGCTAAGAAGATACCTGACCTATCCAGGTTAGCCACCAAACCAGATACTTCACTAAAGTGGTTGACAGCCTCCATCACCCTGTGTATGGACTTGAGCTTTACTTCTCTGTTGTAAGAAACCTTCAGCAAAATAGGAAGATTTCCTGAATTTTTGGAACCTCTGATGTACTTCTTCCTGCATCCTTGTATCCAAGGGATTAGTATGTAGCGTTGCTTGTGCTCTGGCAAGGTCCAGTCTATCTTCATCAGCAATAGCTATAATGTTGCTGAAGTGCCTTCTATTTAGATCCCTCAGCTTGTACTTTAACATTTTTAACTTCTTCACTACTCTAAACATGTGACGTCCTTGCACTGGCTGGTTCCGCCCCTCCTTCACCACATCTAGGAAGTTAGTATGTGATGTTTTATATCTCAATACCACACAAGAGGGGGTGATTTGTGTGGTACCCAATTTTTGCTTAACTTGATTATAGAAGGACCTGGTTCTTCTATGTGTTCCAACTACTACTGTTGCGGAATAATAAAAACAGAAAATAAAGAACACAGAGATTTTTACGTGGAAAACAACTGGCTCAAAAGGTGAAAAAACCACGACCTACTTTCTAGTATGATTTTCCCAAACTCTCCACTAAAATCACTGAGCCAAAAACTGCATTTACAAAAAACTCTTTTGTAAACCTAGGATTAACTCTAATCTCGTTGTGGCACACAGGCTCAACTGTTGCGACAAATTCAAGTTAACTCTAACTTGAAAACTCTAAGTACCTAATACAATTGCTTCTAGATAAAACTGAAAGGTACAATATTAAAACACCTACTACAATTGAACTAGAATAAAAAACAGACACTTGGAACTGGTTCTTCTATCTAGTTCAAGTAGCTTCAGGATTGCACGCTTGAATCACACATAAATTGTTTGCAAAATTGCCTTGCTATTTTGCTCTCAATTCACGCTTAACTTCTGCTTATGTGCATTCCTGTAAAAGAGAACAACACTGATATTTATGGAGTTAGTAAAAAGAGATTGACTAGAATACAGAAGCTACTCTTCCTTGGTGGAAGAGTTTGTGGAAGAGTTTTAGTTGGTCTCATCCTCTAACTCTATCCATTTCTTAAACCGTGTTTCTCTTTATGTAAGGAGTCTTTCTCTTTATCCAATATGCAACCTTTTCGATCATGATCAGGAGATATTGCTTCGGATAAGTTAGATTTATCTCCTTCACGTGCATCTTACATGTTTGAGTTGATCATAACTGTGCTTCACAAGATGGACCTGGTCCATGTCTGAGTTCCTTTGTCAGTCTTCAAAACTTCATCTTTACTTGACCAACAAATTCCCCCTTTTTGATGATGACAAACTCTGTGATTTTTACTCACTTATGCCCTGTCAGAACTCAACTTATTCATCAATTACAAGGTTAGATCAAATTTACTTATCATCAAGGACCAGGTTCATTAGGTTATAAACATCACTTATTCAGAATAAATAAAGCACAATATCTCTTCCCCCTTTTGGCATCATCGAAAAGTTGCATAAACAAAGTGTGATTCCCAGAATTTTAACAATTACTCATGGCCACTGGGGCAACTGCAAGTGCAAT